TTATTATATTTTTGTTTTACCTGTCTTAAATTGCCTGAACGTTTTTGCACCACATTTTTGTTCAACTTTGATCTTGTGCTTTTTTTCCACTGCACATGAACAATAAATGAGAGGGGAGAACAGACCTATGAATTAAAATCAAATGATCTGAAAGCGCATTTAATCTCTTTAAAGCTCGCATTTACCAAAACAGGTCTAATCTGAGCTGGAAAAAAAAAACTGCAAAGTTTGGGGCGGACAAGCGGAGACTTGGACAAGCGGACAACGGGGGGCAGGTTGAAATTTAGTGTAATGTCTCAGCCTGGCCGGTAGGGGGCGATAGCAGCGTTCTGCTGCTCTACGTAAAGAAAAGGCACTTCCGGTGCTCTGTGTCCGCTCTGTCATAGGCATCGCTTACTTCAGCGAGGTGAGTCGGTATGTGGATAAATAACACAAATACTTTTTAAATAGACCGTTTAGTTGGCTATTTGTTTAATTTACGTTATTATATGTGTGCATTTATTTCAAAAGTTAGCTTACTCGATGTTTGAAAAGACCCGTGTTGTCTTAAAGATACTTCTGACCTTGGCTAGCAAGCTAACTGTAGCTCTGGTGTTGCAAAGCGTCCTGATCAAGTAAATGTCATGGACAACAAATTTAATGCAAGCCATTTTGATGTTTATCCCTCCGTAAAATAACCTTAGCCCACATTTTTTGCTTAATTAGTGGGTTTATTTTTCTCACAAATGACTGCTCAGCACCGATATTTTTTCTCTTTCGCGGTTTAAATAAAACAAAGTCGTCATATCAAGATCAAATATTTACATGTTGTATTCATTGAATTATGGTTAAATTAAAAACAGATGCACAATATTCAAAATTACTCGACATGATGTAATCGTGCCAATTTTAGCCATACAGGTTCATATATCTCTGAAGGGTTATTTGTAGGTTGCACAATAATTTACACAGAGAAACAACTATAAACACATAATTATACGTTTAACCTAAATTAATAAAAGAAAATGCATACAAATACAGATACAAACACACACAAAAATGATGACAATAGAACAAACACAAAAACAAGTATGAATGGATTCTTGGAGGTAAACATTTTTTTTAATTGTCTAATCCTAATTTTATTTATACGACTTTGTATTTTAAACATGCTATAAAATCATTAATGATGTAGCATTTTTATGATTGTAAAGCCTTAGGAATTAAATTAATGAAGGAAAGATAAAGCTGCTCTGATTATTTTAAAGTTATATTTTGGGTTCCTTGCATTCAGGTGGATGTTACCATGATGAATATCACCAAATAATTTTTGCGTAACCAACACCAGCACAGATAAGAGTGCAGCAAGAAGAGGGATTCCAGTCATAGTTAAAAAGCTGCAAAAAAATTGACTGACTGAGAAAAATAAACACTAAAAGCACAGCTCCATCTTCAAAATGAGGTGTTTTTGTAGTGTCAAACTCACATTCAAACATCCCAATATTCACCCCCTGCTTAGTGAGAGCTCTTAGCGGTACAAGGGTTTTGCAGCACAGTATTTTGTAAAAAGGTTTTAATTTTAAGGTTGTTTAATGTGCATGCCTAAATGCTGTGGTCATTTAAATGTAATGTCCTTAAGCTTTATTTAAAATATCAGTGTTCAAATTATTTTATTTCACAAGATCTGCTGTGAGATTTTAAGTAGAATAGAAAGTCTATGTTTGTGAAACAAAACAAAGTTTTTTTTGTGTAGGTTGAATAATCTGTAGGTAAAGTTAAAAGTCACATTTTATTTCAGAAAGAAAAGGGGAAAATTACATATCTGAATACCCCAGCAAGTAATGGGTGAGGGGACCTATCATTTAGGCTATGTCCAGAACATGGCTGCCATATTGGGTCAAAATAAAATAATGTCTTGTGACTTTTGACTTCCAGGGTGCAGTTGACATTATCAACCCTCAAAGGACCCTCACATCATTGGGACTCACTTGGTTGAATTATGGATACATTCGAATAAACGTTGTTCATGAATTTCCCTCTGATTTCAGAAAGTAAAGATGGCAGCCCGTCGTTTATCCCTGAAGGCTGTTGACTGGGTGGCATTTGCTGAGCGGATCCCACCCGTACAGCGGAGCGAATTCAACGCACTGAAGGCCAAGAGTGATGCCATTTCTGCTAAGTATGTCACACAACAAACAGCGGAGGCTGTTAAATGACTTGAAGGAATGAAACTCTCAAAGTAGTCATCAGATGTATATTTACAACTGATTAGCTTTTTGATTCCGTATAAATCGAGGAAGCTGTCATAGCTAATTGACCTTAGTGGACACAAGAATTGCTTCAACTCAGTGAATTTTACAAATGTAAAGCTAAGACTTGGTAGTGGTTGAGAATCATTCACAATGCACAATTTGAGAGCTGACACATTGCACAACATCACCATAACGGTTATAACTCTATCATTCCTCAACAAGATGATCTCTTTAAAACTCTGGTATGAAAGGCAGCAGGCAATATCCATTCTTTCAAGAAACATCAGGCCTTTCAATTGTTTCACATGGTTTTATAACTTATGACTAGAGATGGGTACCTTTTGACATTTGAATTGATATGGTACCAATATCCATCACCTGGGAATCGGTACCAGTACTTAACGTACCAGTTTTCGGTACTTTCTGTGTGCTGTTTTTTTAAATAATAAACTTAATTTGTTTTAATTTAACATATTTATTTCTTAATATATAACAACATCCAACCATTTGTATTGTAACATCAGTTGTTTAACAAACTTCTTTAAAGTGAAACTCTTGAAAACAACAAGACTGTTTTGTCTTGTTGCACAAATTAAAATCCAGCTCCACGTGTTTCTATTGATGTCATTTACCCGCTAGAAAAATTGTGTGATGGAGGTCCATGGAAGGCAAATACGTTTAAATCAAACAAGCTAATGAGGATGGAGTTAAAGATATTTAAGCTATGTTTTGAGCAGCCAAAATGCTTCAAGTTAGCTGCTTGTGCTCTTTCAGGTCAGACATGTTCGGAGTAAGTGCCTCTGTTGTTTTCCTCTGCTGCTCTCTGTTTAATGGTGGATGAAATAAAGAAAGTGGCGGAGCTTTATTTACTCTGAGCAAGCGAACGTTGTGYTCACAAGATAATTAATCCACCAGATAATTCAGAGGCGGTCTGTTCGGTGAGTTTAGGAGCTGCGAGGCTTTAAAGCTACGTTCAGACCGAGCTCTGCCTCTCTTTGTTTACTGAACCAGCGGCTGCTGACGTCATTACGCTCTTGCGCGAAGCTGCGTTCACAACAAGCATGGAAAATCTCCCACTCTTACGCCAACACGGTCGCAATGATGCGTTTAGGTACTGAAACATGGTACCATTTGGTGTTACGTGAATAGGTTCTCGGTAGTACCGAGAGAATTTGGTTGGTACTTTATAAAAGTATCAAATTTGGTACACATCCCTTGTTATGACCCATAAAAAGAAGCATAAACAGCTATCATAATGATCTTAAAAGATTCTAATGTGAATGTGCTGGTGTAATGTAAAATTATACTTGATTCATTCGGACTTAAAATATGTTTGTTAAAAAGCCCAAATGTATGGGTTTCTGGTTGAGAACTTGGACAAAATTGAACTGGAACCACATTATAGTGTGGTTTTTCAGCTTATTTGTATTTTACAGTTTTTTTTTTCACTTGTAATCAAGGGTTTAAGTCAACATGTCTGTGCATGCTATAGTAATTGTTTTCCTGGAAGTATGAGCTTTTGCACGTTTTATTTTGGACAGAATGATGAACCTCCTCGGGCCAAAAGTATAAAAACCCTCCAGTTTTTTCTGACTGAGGCTCAAAGTTGTTTGTTGAGCAACAAAAAGTTTCAGGATGAAGGAATAATAATAAAAAAAGACGCGATCGAGCAGCAGGTCTGCAGGGAGACGGGAGGAGGAGGAGCGGGGCTGCTTCAGAACCGGTTACTGGGTCAGAACAATGTTTTAGTCTAACAGAACCAACAAGAATGAAACAAAAAGTAAAGAATTGGAGAAAAAAATTAATTTTAAATGTAAATAAATTCTAATTATAATAATTAAATAATAGTTTTACATCTAAAAATCATATTTTATTATTTTAGTCTATTTTCCTCATTCAGCAACCTATTAAATTTCTGTTATGTTTCATGTAGGAGAAATACACATTTTTTTCAGGCAGTACTTAATCCTTCATTTTATGGGAAGACACTCTTGATTCAAGAGAAAACTCTGTTTTTTTTTTAAATGGCTGCTTATTAATTTATTAATGAATCTATAAGATACATCAACTTCAGATTAATTCATTATCAATAACTTGCATCCTTAAGGAGTTAACTTAATTTAAATCTACTCATATTCATGTAATTAAGCGTTTTAATGATTTGGCCGATTAATTGATTAATCAAAAAAAGAATATCAACGGATTAATCGAGTATTAAAATAATCATTAGTTGCAGCCCTAATTCACTGTATTCTTCCGTCTTCATGCTGCAGTCGATCCTTTAGAGCCATCTGTTAAAATATTTCTCCTCTCATTCAAACAGATTATCCTCCCTGCCTGAAACTCCTGCACCCATTAATTGGAGTTACTACAGGAGTGCAGTGGCTAAACCCGGGATGGTTGATGAGTTTGAGAAGAAGGTGAGTTTTCATGGTAATTTAAGATGAGAAAGAGTTTTATGTTAAATGATACATATTTTAAATTAAAATCTAGCTGGTGACTTTTGATCATGACTACCAGTGAACAAATTTAACAATTTTTCTAATCTCTGCAAAACTTTCTTTATAAATGGCCGGTGCCATTTAGGCAAATGATCACCAAGTAAAGTCATATTTTACCTGTGCTAGACTGTGTTAAAAAGATGACACAATATTCATATTTCTGCACGCAGTTCAAAGCCCTGAAGGTTCCTGAGCCCATCGACACACAGACAAGTGTCATTAAAGCACAGGAGGCTGAATCTGTAAGTTGCCACATCAATGATGAGTTCTAGTTTTAGCTTACACAGTTAAGATTAGGTACGTATGTGTGTTTGTGTAAGAATTGTAACTGTGTGGAATAAAAAAGTAATCAGATTACGTTTGCAGTGTTTTTAATTATTACAGGCTAAATGTTCTTCAATTGTCCTAGTTTGGAGTTCAGAAATACAGTCCTTGCATCTGGAACTAATCACACTGTAGTCACTGATTTGCAGTTGTTGGTGTTTTGTTTTTTGTTTTTTCTCATCTCTTTTTCATTTCTCTCTAACAGGACAAAAGTGCATTGGCCTACATTGCAGAATCAAAGGCTCGCGTTGCTGAGTACGAAAAACAAGTAAGGTGGTAATTGGTTGTTAAAATGCTTGGCAAATGCCATAGCTGATTTTTTTTAATCTACTGTCTCTCTTTCTGTTTTCTTCAGCTGGATAAATTTATCAACATGATCCCCTTTGATCAAATGACCGTCGAAGAGTACCACGACGCTTTCCCTGAGACCAGGTTGGACAAGGTCAAATACCCTTACTGGCCCCACAGGCCAATTGCAGAGATGTAATCCTACTACTTGACATGCTTAACAATAAAGATTATGTATTTTAAAAAGAACTGTTTTGAATTGTCATTAATATTTGATGACTGAAACTTTTTCTTTTCAGTACACCTTACATTATAACAGTTATGACTTGTCAGGTAATATCCACAAGGGGGCATGATGGCTTCAGGTTTAGTTACACATTGATTGTGTTTTCATGCATTTTCCTTCACATTAGGGATTGATCAGTTTAACCAGAGTAGACTAAAGGTATCATTAAAGTGAGAACGTGGTGTAATATAATCATAATTAGTTCTTTATCAGAAAACTGTACCACCCATATCTAAGCATCAGTTCACGAAAGCACGATGTCAACCTTATTTAACGCTATCCAACCATAGATGAGGTTGGTTGTTTCTCATAAAGCCCATTGGACAGCGTAGCTGTCTGTTTATAAAGTTGGGCGGGACTTACCCTCGTCATGGATTTAGATTATGATTGGTTCGATTTCACAGCATCCAAGTTGTTGATTGGTCAGTCATAGTGGAATGGGTGGGACTTCATAAAACATGACTTCCGTTGTATTTTGTCTTGAAAGTCAGACGATTAGCAGGAGTACATCTGCCCAGGTAAATTTCTTTTAGAATAACATATTTATGGGGAAAAAAAAGATCTCCGTTGTCTATTTAGTACCAAGCTATATGATCTATAAAACCTTTTATTCCCGGTAAGAAAAGAAGCTGTCAGTCTTTTACATCTGATCAGCCGGTCGCGTCAAATCTCTGTATGATGAGATTGTTATTGAACTGAGGTCATAATGAGAAGGAAATTGAACAAAGTTTTGATGAAACAATAATGGGATTTAGATTTAGATTTACTCTTGCAACGATTTGTTTTCGACAGACACGAAACGGCTCATTTAGGAGCAAAATGTTAGCTTAAAACGTTAGCTTGAATGTGCAACAATGAGGCGCCTCTTCTGCCCCAAGTTTTTAATTCGACACTTTCAAAGCGTTATAAACATGTCACCAAAATGTTGAATGTTAGCCCAAGTTAAATTAAAAATAATAACTAGTCTTACTCAAGCGTTTAACGAGGCCTGCTGTCTCTGTCAGCCATAGACATGGCGACAAAAACTTGCAGTCTGAATTAGCCAGGTAAACATTGAGCCTGTTCGTTGAATTTATTTGTATTTTCCAAATGTTTTCTCTGGAGTTTGTTGGAAATACGACGGCGACCTGCAGCGGAAATTTCCTGAGGTCAGTAAGCCAACGCTGCCAGGGCAAATTATGCAGACTATTTTGGCTGAATGGAAATAGGAGCTGATGTTTTCAGAGTTGTTCAGAGACTCGTTCACTGCTTCTTGTCAGGTTCCTTTCACGTTTGGTCAGTGGTCAAAATAAATAAATAAAAACCTATCTTACACAAGACACGTTTTTACACATGTAAAATAAAGTGTTGGAACGTTTTGTAGTTTGGCTTTAATATCAGGGTTAAATGATGTAAAGCAAACCTTATTTTAAATATCCTGTCTGGTTTTGTTTGAGTACATTGTATGTAAACTAAATGTTTGTTTCTCTGCTAGTCTGATGAACCTCCCCTCACACCTGGTGTCAAACGTATCAATCCTTGGAAATCTCCATGTTTGATGCTGTTTACTTTAAATCTGATGACAGAGAGTAATCATTGAATACAAACATGGTTGTGTTGGTGGGCTGCCTACATTTGGCCCTGGACTGTAGAGTCAACACTGTCTCCATTGTTTCAGAAGACAATGGAAACAGGCCTGCATTGAGGNGGTTGGATACTGTGGGGAAAGTCTGTCACAGTGTTATTACTACATTCAAGGCTATGGAGAAACAAACAAAAAAAATCAAACAAGTTTTTTTTATATTGCAACAAGTTACACTGAAATGGCAACATTTCCTTTAAAAGACAACACTGTTTTGAGCTTTGTATCATGTTATGATGTTATTCCCTCATCAAATACATACCCAAAGGGTTACTTTAACTCATTCTTGCATGTTTGAGAAAATCTTTGGTAGCCACTCAGAGCTGTCTAAACTGCTGGCACAAAACGCCGCCTATTTACCCAAAGCTCCTCCCTGGAGCTCAGACCCCAGACGAGCTCCATGCAGCCCCACAGAGCATCCCTCCCCCACATGAGCTTCTATTACAATCTACTTCTCAGTCCAGTCTTCACTTATTTATTTATTTTGGGGTGGGGGATGCCTTTTCAACTAGGCAATGCTTTTTTGGGATGCCAAGGAGACTAACCTCTTACAACATTCCTATGAAATGCTGTGAACAGCATAAAGTAATGTTGTGAAAACGTGCTGAAGTGGGAGTGTCGGAAATGGTAGGAGGTTCTTAAAGTGACTGAGGCCATTTTCAAAGCATTTAGAGGCTATGCAAAGTCAAATTTATTTATAATATATACATCGTTTTATAACTTAAGGTAACAGTTACTTGGTTGTGGTATGGAATTGAACTACATGCCTGTAAAATTCATAATGTTCCCCCCCCCCCCCCCCACACACACACACACACTGTAAAATTTACAAGATGTTGTTGCTCTAAGAAGTTGTTTTTAAGACTGATCTTAACAGCAACATCCTGTTCTGTGGTTTGTTTATGACTGAGTGGGTAGGGCTGTAACATGATACTCAGTCCTCAGCCTTTCACTGATTCAATTTCATCAATACGGCAGTCCAGCCACCCTTACAGCAGGAAATGTATCAGAACAGAGCAGCAGCTGATTAGTGTGTTTGTGCTTTGTTCAGAAAATGCCAGACAGAAACTTCATGTAATGTAAATTTTAACTAAGTTTAAAACGTAATGTAACAAATTTAAAGCTGGAACATTTATTGATTTGTAAAGTTTAGCAGAGAAGCAAAAGGTTTTAAATTAACTACAAGTAAACAGTTTTTAAAGTAGAAATAATATCTCCAGAGCTCCTCAGATGAAATGATTTGCTGTACTACCATTCCATCCATTCAGTTTTTTTTCTTTACTTGTTCTTGGTTTTAGGTTTCAGGGAGCTGCAGCCTCTCTTCTCTCTTTTTACTATTTTTAAAAATCAAACATTGACATGCATACAAATATTATTTGATGAACCATGTAAATTACAAATCAATGAGCTTGTTTGCATTCATTTTTTTTGCAACAAGACACTTATGTGTTTTTGTTTCTTCTTGTTCATTCATTAGCCAAGTTGTAGTGCTCGGAGCAAACAGTTTGTTTCTCAAGTTCAAGTTCAGTTTATTTATATAGCGCCAAGTCACAAAATACGTTGTCTCAGGGCACTGTACATGAAAAGAATAATCTAACAAAGAAACCAGCGGGCTGCGTCGAATCACTTCATCACAGTCTCCCATCCTGAGCAAACAGTGGAGAGGAAAAACTCCCTGCTAATCAGGAAGAAACCTCCAGCAGAACCAGGCTCAGGACAGGAGACCATCTGCCTCGACCGGCTGGTTGAGGGACAGGAAAGAGACACAGACAAGAAGAACTGGTCTGGGACTGGTCCAGGTGCACCTTCCTCTGGAAGAGACAAAGAAAAAACATGATAGAAATAATTACTTTAAACATGTAGAGAAGAGAGACTAAAGACAACAGCAGAGTGAGGAAATGTGCTCAGTTTGTGCTCCAGCAGTCTAAGTCTATAGCAGCAGAAATGAAGAATAATTCAGGAAACCTAAGTCTAACTATAGGATTTATCAAAAAGGAAAGCCTTCAGTCTAATCTTAAAAGTAGACAGAGTGTCAGCCTCACGGACAGAAACTGGAAGTTGGTTCCACAAGAGAGGAACTCAGATTGTTTCTCTTCCAGCAAGACTTTGCTGAAGTGCTTGGAGGATTTTAATGAAGTACAACCTGGCAGTGTGGTTGGTTTAGAGGCCCTGTCACACTATGACATTGTAGACAATTTATCCCAACTTCTGAAAATTATAAAGACATCTACGTTGAAGATGGAATTGAAAAAAAAAATCAACTGGAAGCTTCTTTTAGGCGTGTACATACTGTAATTGTAACAAATTGATCAAACATGCAACTTTTATTAACAATTTAGACATAAAAAGTGTGTTTGATAAGTTGGCATAAGGAATTTACTATCCTAGATGTTGATGTTGTCCAGGCAATAACATCGATATAAATCAAAGACATGAATTCACAGGTATATAATATTCATCCCAATCATATCAGTAGTTACTGGATTGTTTATTTTTAAGAACTTACTCTGTCGGCGACTTTGGCTCAGTGACTGAGAGGTCAGCTTCCAATGGGAGGATCAGTGAGTTCAATCTCAACACATTGCAGTGTGTGTGTGAATTGAGTTTAGATAGGTTCAGGGTTAGATGTGTATTGGGGGTCAGTGTGAGGGTCAGAGTTAGGCTATAGAGTTGACTGGAAATGAATGGAAGTCGATAGGTCATAATAAAGATATAAATGTGTGTGTTGATTACGGCATTCAGCAGATTCACATATTTAATTATTTATTTTTAATTACTTCTGCCAGAGTGGAAGTATCACAGATTCACTGAAAACAACGAGAACAAACCACCCCAAAAATAACATGTCAAACACACTTCTCTTTAGCAAATTTGATTTCTTTTCATCAGGTTTTTCTGCCTAGGCAAGATATTTAACCTTGCCTAAATCTCTTGTACAAGTGGCATCACTTTACCCAGGGAGTAAAGGAGATCATTTCTTTTAGGGTTAAACAGGGAGAAGGAGATGGATTTAAAAGAATAGTAAGGAGGGGTGAGACCATCTGGATATGTTTTTATGTGATATGCAGAAAGCCTCTGTGTGTTTCTGTGACAGATAAAAGCTTGACCTAGTATCCTTAGATAGTCTCTCTCTCTCTGTCTCTCTGTCTCTGTGTGTGTGTGTGTTTGACTAAAATCATTTACATGAAATTAAAGCAATTTGAGGTAAAGTCTTGCATCCAAATGTCCTGATGCATCTCAGTAATCCAGGTAAAAAATCAAAAGGAAGAAAATTGAATAGGTCCTCTGGACGGGTTCTTCTTTAATGAAACGTTTTGTCTCTCTTCCAAGAGACTTCTTCAGTCTGAGAGTTTCAGGCAAAAAATTCAGGCTTTTGAGTCCTGCCTCCAGGTGACTGATACTCACATCACATGGCTATCGTTCACAGGTGACTAATACTCACATCACATGGCTATCGTTCACAGGTGACTGATACTCACATCACATGGGTATCGTTCACAGGTGACTGATACTCACATGATCAGTCACCTGTGTATCAGTCACCTGTGAACGATAGCCATGTGATGTGAGTATCAGTCACCTGGAGGCAGGACTCAAAAGCTTGAATTTTTGCCTGAAACTCTCAGACTGAAGAAGTCTCTTGGAAGAGAGACGAAACGTTTCATTAAAGAAGAACCCGTCCAGAGGACCTATTCAATTTTTTTCCTCTTGCATCCAAATATTTAAGTGAATGAGAAATTTTTTGTTGGTGTAATCCAGACTAAAGTCAGTGATATGTCTATGAGGAATGGTCTTGTTACAGGATGTGAAGTTTTGTTTTGTAGAGGTGAAGCGATTATGAGCAAACTCCTTCTAAAGCCTGACCTGTTATGTTGCTGAGTTCCAACATGTTCATGTTTGTCCATGGATGTACCAGTAATGTCAGGGCAAAATGTTTTACTTCACCAGGTTGATCATGCATGAACTTGAGAATTTTGCCCTGATAGATTTTTTTTTGCCAAGAAACCATGTTTCAACAAGTTTATAATGAGAGGATTGCTCTTGAAACATTACAGTTTGGAGTCATGTGGAGCACAATTTGTAATTTAAATATTAATTGTCCAAATAAGAGGGTGTGACAATAAGCCCAAAGCGATTCCATGACATTAAGACAAATAAACAAAATTAAGTGAAAAATTATGATTTTATTTTGAGGGAACTTTTGTTGAATTCTACATGTGTTTTTAGTGGCCTTTGATGGACCATCCCTATGAAGACACAAGGTTACAATGGGACAGAGTACCTCAGAGCAAGAGGTCCAAGAAGACCCTTCACCGGTTGGTTTGTTTTATTTGGATCACTTTGAATGGGTTTGCTTTCTATATTGTTGGGATAGCCATAATTGTCTTGGGTTTATTTTATTTATATTTATTATTTATGTTTATATTTATTCAATAATATAAAATGGAAGACAACAGGACACAATCTACAATACAGGGTGAATCAAAAGCCGCAGGACACCTTTTTATTTCAGAAAGAAAAGAGAAAATTATATATCTGAATATTCCAGCAAGTAAATGTTGAATTATTTCCAGTACTCTTTCTTATTATTAATCAGCGATCTAGATGTATTACTGAAGTAGTGCATGCCAAATGAGCTGATTGTATTGCTCATGCTTCCGGGACAGATCAAGCAGTGACAGTGCCTATTGTTTAGGCCATGTCCAGAACATGGCCGCCATCTTGAAAGTCACCATATTGAATTGAGGGCTAGTTTTTTCTAAAGATAGATACCTTGACCCATTACCTGCTAAGCTATTCAGATATACCCTTTAACCTTTTCTTTCTGAAAGTCCTGAGACCTTTTTTTTGATCAAGGTCTTTTTATTAAATTTTTTTTTACAAACCAAAAATAGGAACAGACTTACAAAAACACAAAACAAAACACACACACACCCAAAATCCCTCCCATCCCTCCCCTCCTATACCGGATCCACTGAAATAATAAAAAATGATCTTGTATTCATCAAATGATACAATGAGCAGGTTTGTGTATAATGAAACAATATTTAACCTTTACACAAAATTATCTGCCGAAATTTTTTCTACATAAGATATAAATGGCTGCCAGATATCAAATAATTTGTTTACAGATCCCCTAACAGTATATCTAATCTTCTCTAAATGAATGTAGGACATAACTTGTCTTAACCAATGACCATATACTGGAGGATGTGGATCCTTCCATCGAAGAAGAATAAGTCTTCTAGCCAGTAGAGAGCAGAAAGCTAACACCGTCCTCTGATGCTCACTGAGGGAAGCCTCTGCTGGAGCCACCCCAAAGAGAGAGATGAATGGTGATGGATGAACAGTTCGTCCAAATAGTCCTGAAAAGGTGTCAAAGATGCCTTGCCAATATCCATGTAACTTTGGACAGGACCAGAATGTGTGCAGAAGTGTGGCAGGGGATTGTTTACAACGATCATACGATGGATCCAAGTCCTTTTTGAATTTACACAATTTGTCCTTAGACCAGTGTAGACGATGTACTACCTTGAATTGAACTATAACATGTTTCACACATATTGAGGACGAATATATACAGTATTTTGAATAATTTTTTGCCAAACTGTGTCTGATATGGATTCCTCCAAGTCCATCTCCCACTTGCCCTTCAAAGAATCTAAATTGGAGTCAGAAAATGAGCTGAGCAGAGAATAAACTCTGCTCATARAGCGTTTTGTTACAGACTTACACATCAGAATCTCATCTATAAGAGAAGTTGTGGGGCATAGAGGAAAACATCCAGAGTTTTACATTACAAAATGTCTCAGTTGTAAATACCTGAAGAACTGTGACTTATGGATGTCAAATTTCTGTGTTAGCTGTTCAAATGAGGCGAACTTATTGTCTATATAAAGATAATTTAGAGAAGTCATTCCCTTTAAACTCCAAGTATTGAAAACAGAGTCCATTAGTGAAGGAGCAAACATATGGTTAAAAAAGTTGATTTTGCATAATAATCCCTCCTTAAATCAAGGAGAGTAGAATAAAGACCACATAATTTTATTTGGTAAGTCCAGACCTTATTAATCAGTTCCGTCCCAAATTCTGTGATGTAATAGTTCAGAAAACTGGGTTAACTCAAGTTCTTTCCACCATGTTATACAGTCATTCTCATGGCTCTCATCATCTCATTTATTTTTACATCTTTTGAATATTGCTTTGACACAAACCTGAAAAAAAATTCTTTTCTAATAGACATTATATCAGAACAGGGTGAATGCAACCACTGAGTATAGATTCTCATTACTGTAAAAACCTTTTATAGAAACAGTCACAGTCGGTTACGTTTAGCCACTCAACAACATGTTGTTTGGTTTTTGACAGAACAAAGTGTTTAAACAGTACATTCCAGACTCGTCACAGTTGCTGCAGTTATCATCCCAGCTGGGAGATCTACGTCAATCAGGACGAGCCTGAAGATCCTCCTAATCTGAACACACTCTTTGTTGTTGCACTGATTTGTCTCAGTCAGCAGAAATTCTGCAGTGAAACTAAGGGTTAATGAGGCAAGAAGAAAACACAGTAAAAAAAACATTTTGAAGATTTTTTAAATTTTCAATGCTGGTACAGACGTCAACCTCTGCTGATGATTTTGTAAAGTTAAATAAAGGTGTACTGATAGCTTTTAAATTATTATTATTGGAAATACGACGGTGACCTGCAGCGGAAATTTCCTGAGGTCATATATTATTATTATTATAAGTCCTGAGACTTTTGACTCACCCTGTAGAGCTGCAAAAAAGGAAAAAAAATAGATGTGTTTTGGTGCCTGTTGTGAAGCTGTTCATTAGAAAATGGTAATAAATAAATAAAAAATATACATTGATCAGTTTCCTTTTTTTACTTATCTTTTAGAGCTTTCTGGCCTTTTCTAAAGCAGAGTTGTAACTCGGAGTAAAGAAAAGTCAAGCTAATTAAGTCCTGATGCAGCAAACGTGTTAATTGCGTGGCTGCTCACATTCAGGGAATTCTGCAGCCTAGACTATCTGTTCTGATCCAGAGAATAGAAACGAGTCCGCTGTGCATCATTCACAGTTGGATGGAAGCACAATTATGGGTTAGGTTGCCCTTAAAACAAAGTTCGTCTGCCAGTTCTGCACAAATGCGAGGCTTTCTGTTCATATCTTCAGAAAAATACTGCTTTTAATACATTTTCATCCTTGCTATGACAGTTTCAGATCCACTGTCTGAGCGTAATAGCTGGTGTGTGCACTTTTTTCCGTACTTGGCAGTGAACCCCACTGGGCTTACTTAAATCATCTTTAGAGCTGTCAGTATTACCTTTGTCTAGCTTAATCCATTTACTGCCAAGTAACCTTTAGCTTGTCACGCACTAATCAATAACCAATGATAACATGAAATGTAGTGTCAGTGGCAGTCAGCCAAAGCTATAAAAACCTCATACTCCCACCATAAAAGTACTACCTGATAGTTTGGACGATAGATACACACTTTCATGCAAACGTAAACGGTTGTGTATCTTGATTTATTAGATCTACGCAGTCCCTGCACAGCCACAAACGGTTACTTATATGTTACTACTTAATAATAATAATAAATACATTTGTGATTATGATTTTTTTAATCAGATTTTAATAATAAACATTAAAAAGGCACACACATCTAATTACATATTCCAGGTTAGATTCTACAACTTTTTATCCCCTCCTTGTCTATTTTTTTTAGCCATTGCTTTCCCCAAGGCAAATTCTTCATTTCCACATTCTTTTACAGTTGAATGAATTTTAGCCTTCAGGACTCCCCTTCATGAAGTCACATTTCAGAGTGTTAACAGTTGTAATGTTAGCTGTATAAGAAAAGTTTTTTCTACTTTGTGAAAATGAGTTTCTGCTACTCTTTCCTTTAGGACAGATTTGATAACCTTAAGGCAAATGTGGAGGAGGAACTACAGACAAGCACGGTGAGTGAGCTGTTAAATGTCATTTAATCAGTTTTATTATTGTGTTGGATAGTTTGATTAACTGAATTTTAAATAGACACTTTGTCATCAGTTGTAGTCATTTACTTTTACCAGTAAGAGAATCAACAAGTGTCTATTTAACATGTGCCTAGCTCCAGTAGTGTAAACACATAATATTTTACATTTCAGGAATTTAAAACTGTTTTAAGGGTACTTGTTTTAGGGGTATGACATCATATCCTGGGTGTGACCAGACTTTTTTATAAATATTGAAAGGACAAGTAAGCTGGAAATCTCCGGAGCCACAGACCTGGTCGGAGTGAAATGAAGTTTTTAGATCTGAAAATAAATATTTAACTGAGAACTTAATCAGGTTTCTGCATGTTATTCGGGCTTCCAATCTTGAACAATTATTTACAATTGTCTCATTGTCATTCAGTTCTTTGACCACTGTAGCATGATCACTAATCATTAATTTTGGCTGAGGCCAAAAAAACAAGTTTTTTTTTTATTACATTGTTATCTAAAAAGTACAAATTATTTTAAAAATACTTTGATTTAAAGGTTCATATGGTATTTATTTAATTAAACAAAAAAGTGAGTAGACATTTGTTGCTCTTATATCCTTATCTGTTCTTTCTTCCAGATGGTGGGGATGGTGATTGGTGCAGGTATCGCCATCGTTCTCATCGCCGTCCTCATTTTCTTCATCTTGCGAAGGATCAAACATCGAAGTGAGTAATTGCTTAGAAGCGTTTCTCAGCCTGAACGTTTAATGACTGTCATTAAAACGGCTTGTGTGCACTTCTGGCCCGGTTTTTACACTTATTCTGTTTCACAGACCTGGAGGCTCAGGAGGCGCCCAAATACCGCTTTCGCAAGAGGGACAAAGTCATGTTCTATGGGCGAAAGATAATGCGAAAAGTGAGTGGGTGGTTGGAAATGGAAAGCCACTGTATATATTTAAAAAAGCACTGGATAACGCAGGAATGATGATATAAAAAATTTTCAATAGGTGTCACAGTCTACGTCCTCTCTGGTGGGTACATCCTCCTCTTCCTCCTCTTCTCGACCTCGTCTGAAGAAGAAGCAGAAGATGCTCATTATTGCCAAAAAGTAAAGCTCACTCTAACCATGACTTTTCCTCACCATGTCCTCTTTTTTTAATCTTTCTCCATCACTTTTGTAGGATCCTGCGTTTTAAAAAAGAGGTGCCCATCCTTCAAGCTAAGGAGCCCCCTCCCTCTGTGCTAGAAGCAGACCTCACAGAGTTTGATGTGGCCAACTCCCACCTCCCTTCTGAGGTGCTCTACATGCTCAAAAATGTCCGGTGGGTTATGCAGAGGGACCACGTTATTGCACAAATGTTCTGCATCAGTGGCACAGTATGCGTTAGTCATCCTAACTGTCATTCATCTCCCACCGTAGCGTGCTGGGCCACTTTGAGAAGCCCCTCTTCTTGGAGCTTTGCAAACACATGGTCTTTCTGCAATTCCAGCAAGGGGAGTACGTCTTCAGGCCGGGCCAGCCTGACAGCAGCATCTACGTGGTTCAGGATGGAAAACTAGAACTGTGCCTTACTGGAATGGTAGTGTTATTCCTTTCATTTCCCCATTTTCAGGTTTAATGCCTGGTTCAAATGCCAATTTTAGAATTGTCAATTGATTTTCAAAACCTGAGACCCCATACAACAATAAAAAATATCATGGATAAAACAGCTTTGGTCCTACAGTATGTGGTGTACAGCCACACATCTAAGATAACACACCACACATGTACAGATTTCACTCACAAACATTCAGATGTTAGCCTGGACATTGCCTTCCTACACAGTTCCAGTTCTATTCTAGTTTCCTTTCACTACCCCGTCTAGGATTTCCGCTATAGACAAGGATTTCTCCGGTAGAATTTCAACTGGGCCAATCAGCGAACTGAAGGAGTTTTGAATGATGTTGTCAATTTTCTGTGCCGTTTTAGGCTGCCTGTGGTTTAGCAATGGCAGTGGAGGAAGTGAAGGAAGCCATTTAGTTCATGTTGACAAGGCTTCCAAATAAAATTAAATGTGTCTCACAAAGCCTGCAGGACTCATTTACAGCCATCTAGTTCAGTTTAGTACTTCTCTCTTCCCAGTAGGGGATGGTTGTTCAGAGAGCATGCAATGTCCGGTTAGCGTCTTAGCTTAGCTTCTTTCACAGTCGAGCTGGCACAGTGCAAATGTCACGGCCAAACGTTGGCGATTGGCCAAATCAAATCCAATTGTTTCCACACCTGCAGCAAGCAATGGTTTCTCAATAGCCAAGGTTCCAAACCCTCGTATGAAGCAAAGCATCAAACAAGGGGCTGGATTTTACCAGACTAATCGGATGTTAGCAGGGAAATCTCGCAAAACCTTTAGATCAAACGAGAGTGTATCGTTAATAAACATGACAGGCAGGGAAGAAGCAATGTCAGTAGTTTGTGGATTGTTTTTGACAGAGAAAAAAATAAAACAAAAATACATCTCCAACATCCACCAGACTTTCTGGTGCACCATGGCAGTTGTTTTGTCTTGTGTATTTTGAATTCCCCTCCATGTTTCCGTCACCTTGCTTTCTGATTGGCTGCACGTCACATTAAACAGACTGCAAGCTCGTTTGTCCTCGGGGAACACCAAACATGCTGGGATATTAGGTCAAGACACAACATGCTGGCTATCCCCCATTTGATGTTGAAGCGGTCCCAACGCCCTTTCCATGACTAGATCACTCTTAACATGCCACACGGCAGGAATATTTCACAAGATTGTCTTCAGAGCCATTATGATGATCGAAGTGTCCTTAAGATTGTCATAGGGGAAAAATAGGGTCAAAGATTGGCCCGGACTATTGGCATCAACACAAACCCATTCAAGTAGGGGGAATAAAGCACACTTTATTGTTTTACTCATACTTGTAAACCCAGATTTTTTTGTTGCTTTGAAGTCTTATAGATTTTTTGTTTAATAGAGAAAATCACTAAAACATATACAAACATGATCTATTTTATATTAAATGTAAATCAAACTGAATGTTTTGTTCTTGTCTTGCAGGATGGTAAAGAAAGTGTTGTTAAGGAAGTTTATGCTGGAGATAGTGTCCATAGTCTCCTCAGCATACTGGATGTTATAACAGTAGGTTGCTTTTTGTGCCATTTCCAAAAGCTCTTTGTTTAACCACATCTACACACACAGGCTTTCCCCATACTTAGACTGTTAATGTGAAGTAAGACAAATCCTTAAGGAATCCACAAATTTTTCCCCTTTCTATCATTCACGTCTATCTGCTGACTCACTAAATATTTTTCTTTGCCATGACTCAGGCTGTTAGGTTTTAATCCAGTCTGGTTTTAAAGACTAGATGAGTGCTGCTATGATCATCACAAAGGCTGGAGCTTCTATACATACGTATTATTAGATTCATAAAATGGGATCTTTGTGTTCAGGGCCACCAGAAGCCTTACAGAACAGTGTCAGCACGAGCTGCAGAGGTTTCCACTGTTCTCCGTTTACCTGTAGAGGCCTTCCTGTCTATATTTGAGAAGTACCCTGAGAGCCTAGTGCGAGTAGTTCAGGTGAGCTGTGTGATTTTCTGAATTTGTTTTTGTACGCATGTATTTCCACACCCTATAGGACAAACAGTAAACACATGTTTTGAAAAAGACATATTTGCATTTTATTTCGATGCGTAAATTATTACTTTTCCTCTGTTTTATCAGATCATTATGGTTCGTCTCCAAAGAGTCACAGTCCTGGCCCTGCACAACTATCTGGGCCTGACCAATGAGCTCTTCAGTCATGTGAGTTTAACACACACCTGGCAAGATTAAGGTAAAATAATATAAAATTCAATACATGCTATGCGGTTCCAGTATATTTATTTTTTAAACAAGTATCAGAGGAGATTTTGGATGTTCAAATATGAGCTCCAGATATGTTTCAGAGTGTTTGCTGTGGGCAAGAAAAAACATTAAAATGGTATAAATAAGCATGACTATTTCCTAGGGGTGTAACGGTACATGCGTTTGTACCATGACTGTTCAGCACAAATATTTTGGATGGGTTCAGTGTGAAATGATGATGAGTACTTTAATAATGGGCAATCCCCCCTCCAAGAGTGGGTGGATTTTTTCTTTACCAGCATTTTACTAACAGCCACCAAAGAAATGAATCAGGGAATGATACGAAACTCTACATCAAACAAAGCTTGGCTGGTTTAAAATATCACATTCCGTTAAAGACTTGCTTGTTTATTTCAAATCAGCAGTTCGGAAAAAAAACCCCTCACTAATTAATACTTTTGAAGCATTGTGCAAGCCATCAATCAGTACATTTATTCAATGTCCCTGATCACACTAGCGTGTGTGCTGAAAAGTTTGTATTACATGATTGATTTATTTTGATGTTTTAAAACTTTGTTTTATTATTTTCATATTGGAAAATCTCATTTAGCTCTGTGTTGCTTTTTATTCTGCATCAAATTATTGAAGCTTAATAACTTTAGTACGTATTAGGGCTGCGCGGTATATGCGGTAGACAGTAGAAACGGAATGAAGTTGGCCTACGTTAGAAATTTACCCTCTACCGTCCTTTCGTCATTACGTCATCGCACCTGTGTGAACAGGGCTGCGAGTGCAGAGACAACTGAGCAGGAGTTCGAAATATAATGAAGAAACTCTAGCGTTTTAAAACACGTATAGAGAGAATAAATCCTCAAAATATTCCCCTCTTGCATGTCGCGCAGACCGAAGCTTTAACAACCGTAGTTTTTTCACACCCAAGTTGTCGGAGAAAAAACTTGTTTTTAAGTATTGTTACCCACAGAGATGATAAAAAAGACGTGGACGTTCGTTCAGTCATAAATCCATCTTGCTAATGTAATGTCGGCTCTGCTGTGATGATGAAGATGAGAGCACAGCAGAGCAGCTGCTGATAAGTTCAGCAGGCAGAAGCTCATTGTTTGGCAGGCAGATATTAAAACAAAAATGATGGGTTTGATTATGATTACAGTTTTCTGCAAAATAAAAAAGCACTAAAAATTACATTATCATTACTTTTCATAATAATTTTCTACTGCGCTCTACCATTATCGTGAAGGGATTCAATTTATACCTGATATGAATTTGAGGTCATACCGCCCAGCTCTAGTACGTATTTGTAACATTAATACATGTGATCATAAAAAAATGAAAATTAAATACAAATTCATCTGCAAGTAGTCTTAAACAAATAGTGAATGTACAAATAACTCAAAAGAGCTGCCTGTCCTCCAGCATGAGGTGACTGTTAACTTGTTCTGCAGCATGTAGACGCAGCTTTGCAAGTCCAAAATAAACTAAATAATAACTTTGATTAAAGTACCTGTATATGACCTGCTACATTAGACCCTCCATACTAACAAGGGTGGCTTGTTTAGGTGTTTTTATTTGTCTCTGCTTCTGGTTGTTTGTAAACTAAAACAAATAAATATGAGAAAGTATGTATTGTTACACCCCACTATTTGTTTTTTCAGGCAGTGTGCTTCCCGGTATACTGCTCATGTTTTCAGTGAAATTCCAATCTCTGGACAATAAGTGTTTTTATTGAATTGTATATTTAGATGTTTGGACATTTATTGCAAAGAAACAAATCCAGATTAAATGAGTTTACAACAGTAGAAAAAATATCAGTCACAAAATTTATTTTCCAACAGCTGTCAGACACATTTTATCTTTTGAAATACCAGATCTTAATATTATCTTTTACCTGAAATAGATGATTTATTTATTTTCTGCTGGTGTAAAGGAAATGCAGCCATCACGTCTTCCACCGCAGTCCCCCCACCCTTCACGTACCAGTCCGGTACGCCACGGGAAGCGCTTTGGCAGCCTGACCGTGCCTGAGGAGCATCGGGAAGCTGCTGTAAAGGGTGAAGCTCCAGGTCGAGTATAAGTACTCACTTAAAGTCACGTCTACTATTTCAGTTGCATCTTAGTGACATTAAGTTCCCAATTTCTTAAAGCGCCTGTAATGTCAAATTTTTGTAATAGGTATGAATGCAATTTTGGAAAGATAACACTGATAACATATAACGTATCGTGACACTTCACTTTACAGTTAATAGTCTGAGATTGTTTTGCACTGAAAACAGACAATTTCTGATTCCTAATGTCAGATTCTGATAGTCTAAAACAAAACATCTTTTTCTATTCTTGCACAAGTCTTTATATTATATATTTTTAGTAGTTGTATCATGGCTAGTCAGTGTTAATTTTGTTTTGTGTGTACTATGTCTAGTTTGTGAAATAACTAGTGTATGAACCTCTGTACGGATGCTGCTGTGACACCTGAATTTACCCTCAGCGGGACAATAGAGGCTATTTCTATTCTATTCTATTCTATTCTATTCTATTCTATTCTATTCTATTCTATTCTATTCTGGGGGAAAAATTCACGCTGTTGAGATAAACGGTTATACAGTGGGGAAAATAAGTATTTAGTCAGTCACCAATTGTGCAAGTTCTCCCACTTAAAAAGATGAGAGCGGCCTGTAATTGACATCATAGGTAGAC